AGGGGTGCTTTGCCTTTATCCCGAGGGGGAAGCTTCTCATCTGCCCTGGAGACGGATCCGCCACTTTCTTGAGGTCTTTGGAGCACCTTTCCGCCGAGGCGGTCTTGGACCCCTCGGCGGTCTAGCGCCCCTCCGAGTCTCTCGAGGGCGGAGGTCCGGGGCCTTTCTTTGTTTGCGCTGTGGCGGTCCCGGGATTGGACTTCCTGAGAGGCGGTGTCCTGGGCCACAACCCTCTCGTTGTTCCCTAATCGAAGGATAGGGTTCACGAAGGGGAGCGGAGGAGGGGGGAGAATGGCGTTCTCCCCGACCTACGGCTGAAGGGGTACCAGCGTGCCGAAGGCACCTGGGTTTTGAGTGAGAGTTTGGATGAAGGCGGAGAACGTTTATTGTACGTCAATGGTGAGAACCGGAGGACTCATTTGGTTTTCGCTCCGGTCCTTCTTTTTGGCCTCGATGCCAAGGCGGGCATCGGGGGCATTATGTTGGAGCTGAAGGCGCAGGTCGACAGCTGTCTGTTCCAACCCAGCGAGGGCGCCGCCCTCGGGAGCCATGTTAGAGGCTTCGAGGGCGTCGACGTCGCCGAGGGCCAGGTTCCTGTCCTCATGAGTCTTGGATTGGGCACGGGTGTTTCTTCCCATTTTGATAGGTGTTTTTAGCTGAAGGGGAGGGTTTCTTACTTGATTGTTCGAACTCTCAACGAGAGCACCAAATGATGGATAGCGTACCCGGGGGGTATCTTATCCGAGGGGTTATTGCGGAGAATAACTAGAGAGAAGTCAGAGCAAACAAGTAAGAGAGAGAGTGTATATTCGATATGTCTTAAGCGTGGTTTACAATGGGGGAAAGGGATGTTATTTATAGTAGTAATAAATGCTAGATAAGGACACGTGTCAGTTTTCTGATGGTCGAGGGGTCACCTCGACCGGGGTGGCACTGGCACTCGCATGTGGCCGCATTAAATGCGGTGATTGGATGTGACGTTTGTACTTGGTACGGTGATCCAGGCGCATGTGAAGAGGATATTCTGTCGAGGTGGATGCCTTCGGCTGAAGGGTGCTGGGCCGAAGGCTCTTCTAACCGAGGGCTCCTACCTGCCGAGGGCTGCAGGTGCAGAAGGCTTGGTTTTCAAGCCTTGTTCTCCTGTGATGCCTCTTCTAACCGAGAGCTCCTACCTGCCGAGAGCTGCAGTTGCCGAAGGCTTGGTTTTCAAGCCTTGTTCTCCTGTGATGTTTCTGAGCTCGATTCCGTCACTGGTAGCTTTCGGCCATGGGGCCGAAGGCACCCCTTTGCGTATTGCGGGCTGCTTAGAGCTCCATTTTTCTGGACTTGGCCCGTTTGGGCCTGTTGGGCCTGATTGTAGTAGAGGAAGTATGTGGGCCGGGGGTCCCTGGGCCATATACTCCATCAATAATTTTTACATATTTTCGTTCACAAACAAGATTACAGGAGCAAAACTCTATATGAAGAAAAAGAGAAGAAAAACAGAGCATTCTTCGTTAGATCCAAGAAAATCGCAGATACATTCAACCTGTTTCACGCCTCGGCTCTGATACCAATTGATAAACCCAAAATACTAAACAATCAAACAACCATAGCAGTTATGAAGAAGCAGATAGAAGATTATGAGATGAAAAACCAAATCTGGTATACCGTGTAAACTGGCTACTGCTCTTCCTGGAGAAGGAGAGCAGTGGCAAACCCTAATCTCTCTATCTCTACGCCTCTGTTCTCTAAAGTCTCGAACGTTAGTTAGGGTTCCCGTAAGTTAGCCTCCTTTTATAGGAGAAGTTAGCTAACTTACGGGTTACAAGGAAGCCCCCAGGCTGATACACATTTGTGGCCCGTATTACACGTTTAATTAATAACTACAGAAATACAAAGATATTTAATTAGATTGGACACCATAAAATATTCCTAACATCTTTGATGTATGGAGAATAGATTTCATGGGACCTTTTCCGAACTCCCATGGAAACCTATATATTCTCTTGGCAGTGGACTACGTGTCAAAATGGGTGGAAGCAAAAGCCACCAAGACCGATGATGCCAAAGTAGTGACGGACTTCCTCAAAACTCGCATCTTCTCAAGGTTTGGAGTTCCACAAATTCTAATAAGCGACAGGGGCACTCACTTCTACAACAAAACTGTGAGTGCTTTGTTAAAGAAATATGGCATGACTCATAAACTCTCCACCGCCTACCACCCACAAACAAAACGGCCAAGCCGAAGTCTCAAACAGGGAGCTAAAGTCTATACTCCAAAAGACGGTGAATCCTAGTCGCAAAGATTGGAGTCTTCGCATGGATGATGCCTTATGGGCATATAGGACCGCTTTCAAGACCACAATTGGCATGTCACCCTATAGACTCGTGTTCGGGAAGGCATGTCATCTCCCGGTTGAACTCGAACATAAGTCGTATTGGGCGGTTAAAACTCTGAATCTTGACATGGAACAAGCAGGGATCCAAAGGAAGCTGCAACTACAAGAGCTAGAGGAACTCCGACTTGAGTCCTATGAGAACGCCGCCATCTACAAGGAGAAGACGAGGGTATGGCATGATAAAATGATAACAAGAAAGGACTTCCAAATTGGAGACAAAAACCTTCTTTTTCTATTCCGCCTTCGTCTTTTCCCCGCAAACTGAGATCACGATGGGAAGGACCATTCGAGGTGGTCAAAGTCTACCCCCACAGAGCAGTTGAAATAAAGAGCCTCGACACCGGCAAAATCTTCAAGGTTAACGGACATCAACTCAAACCGTTCCTTGAAGGTTTTCAAAAAGAAAGCGTTGAACGCATGGATCTCTTCGATCCAATCTATAAAGAATGAACACAACAATGGCGTCGTGTCGCGACGATAACTAAGGCACTTCTTGGGAGGCAACCTAAGCAAGGTACGTGATTTTTTTATTTCCCTGTCAAAGTTCCAGTTTCTGTTTTGAGAGGGTGAGAGAGAGAGGGCACTAATCGCATGTTTTGGAGGAAAAAAAATGCAGGTTTTGAAGTATCTGGGGACATACCCGATCGAGTATCACTATATACTCGGTCGGGTATGACTAAAAAAGGGGAACCGAGTCACTACTCGATCGAAGGAGCATAATTTTTCCAAAAAATACATGTATACTCGATCGGGTACAATCCCATACCCGGTCGAGTATTCATAGAAAGGCAAAGCTAAAAGGAACCTGCCACGGACACTCGATCGAATACGGGGTTCAAAAATTGCAAAAGGAAGAATACTCGATCGGGTATCACTACACACCCGGTCGAGTATGTTCAGAAGGATGAAACTAAATAGAACCTGCTCCCAACACTCGACTGAATACAGGGCTCAAAATATTAAAAAAGAAACATACCCGATCGGGTATGACTATACACCCGATCGGGTATTGCTGGAAATTCAAAAGCCCAAATAAACTGTCTCCAGTACCCGATCGGGTATGACAAGATACTCGGTCGAGTATGGCTAGAAAACCGAATTCCTGAACAAACGGTCTCCAGTACCCGATCGGGTATCACACAATACTCAATCGGGTATACCTGCGTTTTAACCCCAAAAACAGCCCGAATCACTTCATCTTCCCCAATTTCCCAAACCAATTTTCGAACCCTCTTCCTCAAACTCCATTTTCGAACCTTCTCTCTACCATATCCCCCCCATTTCTCCATCAAATCACCTCATTCTTCCACCAAAATACTCCCCTCACCTTCCTCTACACACCCATACCCATAAACCCAATTTTTCCCCAATTTCCAAAGGTCCGAAAAACCCTAACCCACTTTCGAATTTTCCCGATTTCAAGCTCCAAATCTACATAAATGGCACCACGAAAGGACAAAGGACAGAGCTCAAGGGCTATGTAACCCATCCCGGGGTACGAGGACCTCATTTTCACCGACAACGAACACCGAGCTCGGTTCATCACTACAATTACAAGGCAAGTAAAATCTTCCCGTTTCTTATGCCATGATGCTCTCCGTGAACTAGGCATACCCAATCGGGTAGACCGACATACCCGATCGGGTAGACCGATCAGGTATGCCTTTGAGTTTAAACCCCAAATCCGGTCGAGTATAGCTCCAATAACAATTTCTACACATACTCGATCGGGTATAAAAGCACACCCGATCGGGTATACATATAAAATATAGTCAGAATCGGTCGAGTATGCTTCGAAGTTGACGTTTTACACATACCCGATCAGGTATCGTGTATATACCCGGTCGGGTACCCGAGCTGCATCCCAAGAGCCTATAAATACACCCCTTTCCTCCACAATGAGACATCCAATTCCTATATACTTCTAAGCTCAGTCTAGAATAGTTCTTTCTTTATATTTTCCTCATGTTTAGTCTACAAATGAGGAGCTAAACTCTTCCATCTTGATTTTGCTACTTTGAAACTTAATGATTTGTAAGTTGTGAGTTATTTTCTTTAACCTTTTTCCTTGAATATTAATTACTTCCTATTCATATTCCATATTAATATTTTGAGCATTACTTTAAAGATCAACTAGTTTTGTTTCATCTATTAATTATTACTAGAATCAATCGGTTAATACGTTTGTTATTAATTCGGTTCCTTCAAAGGTAGTAAACTTGGATTGTTAATGCATGCATCTCATGGTTAATAAACCAAGTGGAATTAATTATATTGATTAAACCAATAAACCACTTGTGTTGAGGTTATCAATCTCAATCGTTTTCATCTTAAGCTTATTGCTACTATCGAATTAATATACAGCGCTTGTTCTATATTGACTCGATAGTAAGTTTTATTAATGAACGCATCTCGTTATTAATAACTACCCTCGATGAACTGGATATACTCCTCGATTGAGTATTCGAGAGGAAGATAGTTAAAGATATAACTGGGACCGACGAACATTTCATTAAGTGAATAAAAGCAAGACCAAGTCTTCATCTCTATTAAAGTAAACCACATAGGTTGTTCATCTTAATGTTTAAATTTACTTCAAATTCAACAATAATCAAAACCCCCCTTTGTTACTAATTATATAAAAGAAAAGTATTTCTTTCCCTGTGGATACGAACCGTACTTTGTTATACTACGTATATTCGTTGTATTGTATTTATTTTGAGTGCACCTCACGAAAAGTGCACGTCAACCGTAGAAACAGGAATTGCCAAAATATCTTTGGTAATGGCTTGCAAAGTAGGGTACTTGACCCCGTTAACTTTCCACCACAATAAAATATTGAAATCATCGGTCATTGGCAAAACATCATCATCCAAATAATGATCTAACTCCGTTCTACAATTGGAAGTTGATGTTTTCAGTCTTTTCACAAATGTTTGAAATCCACTCATGCGAATGGTTATTGTACTTGTTGAATTAGTCTCACTCTCATCACAAATAACATCCTCCTTTTTTTTTATATTCCTTGATCAGATCATAGCAAAGTTGCTGAATGTTATAAACTTCTTTCTCGTGATCCTTCGGATATACCATAGGAAGATAATACCTAAGCAAGGCCATCTTATACCTCGGGTCTAATACCACTGCAACACCCATCAACTTATGAACTAACCAATAATCCTTAAACTTTCCCAACATGCTTAGCTTCCTGCCATCATACTAATAACTATCTCCGGTGAATGGGCCCATTCCTCCAACTCTAATCTGATCTCACAAATTTTTGGGAAAAATAAATTAGCAGTTGGATATTTTGTCCCAGAAAACATTTCTGTGGCAGAATAAAACAACTCTAATTTATCACACACTTCTTTTTCAATCTCCCACTCACTTTCACAAGGCACGTCTTTATACTGTGAGTCACGCATTTTAAGCCTAGGAAACACACTCTTATAAAGCAAAGCTGATTTTAACATCAAAAAAGTTGAATTCCACCTAGTCGGACAATCCAAGCCTAACTTTTAGGTATAGGGCAACTTCATTCCCCGACAAACCTCTTCAAATTTCTCTACCCTCTTTGGAGATGTTGTCCAGAAAACCACACTATCTCTTACAGTATTAATAAAGTCTTTAATAACATCTAGACCAATCTTCACAACAAGATTAAGGATATGGGTTGAACAACGCATGTGTAACAAAGCACCATCTTTCAACAAATGTTCAATATTCAATTTATTGGTCAACTTGCCAATCATGCTATCATTAGTTGAGCAATTATCTACTGTAATTGTAGATAATCTAGAGTCCAGATTCACTCCATCAATGCCTCGATCAATACCTCTGTTAACGCTTCACTTGTATGTGGGCAATGCACATATATGAACCTAAATATAAATGATAACAACAATCAACTATACAATGACGCGTAATATCAAATCAGTGACTCCAATCAGATATATAATATCAAAACAATTCCCAGCAACAAAGACATGATATAAAAATCAGCAACTTTAACTACATAAAATTTGACTATTTGTTTATAAAATAGTGTAGTGTGTACCTTAAGATTTGATTATGTAAAACCCAAGATTTCTCAATGAAATGGGCTGTGATTGCCATGAATCCCCTCTTTTGATTGGTTGAAGTCCACATGTCAGTAGTAACAGCCACCCTACAATCATTACCTTCTAATAAATTCAGAACTTTGCATCTTTCTTCTGCATAAACCTTCAAAATGTCACTTTTCAAGGAATTGCGTGAAGGACATTTGAAAAGAGGCTGAATGGTGCTTGTGAATTCTCTGAATCCCTTATGTTCGACTATGGAAAGAGAATATTCGTGCAAGATGACCATCTTGGCTAGTGTGATTCTCCCTTCTCCCTCATTATAAGACGCATGACAAACATCCCCTTTCGAATTGGTCTTTAAGACCATTTATTTTATATCTCCACCTCTTGTCCTTCTTGGACATCGGTTAACGTGCTCCTTCAAATGACTAGTATCATTGTTCTAAAACTCGCTAGGCGCTAGTCGGGCGGTTGAGGGGCGCCTAGCGCCTAGGCGGCCGACTAGGCCGATTTTTTGGCCGACTAGGCCGATTTTTTGGCCGACTAGGCCGACTCGGCCTCTACAGTTATGGCCGCCTAGGCCGATTAATCGGACCGCCTAGGCCGATTTTTAGAACAATGACTAGTACCATTCTTTGGATCACCTCCCAGTAACTTTTTGCACTCTTGGCATTTCGCTTTTTTAATGTTATTTACCTCAACCTCGTCAAAGTAATCCCACCATTTGCTTCTTTTCTTTCATTGTCCCCCAATCATATGATCTGCTTGATCTTTTGAAGCAGTCACTTCTTTAGACTCCTCACCGGTAGATGAACCAACCGGTACACATTGATTTGTTGGTGCACCACTAATACCTATTGAATCTTGGGTGCTAGCACATTGGGATGCCATAGCCTATCAATAAAAGTATATATAAGCATCAAATATGGAAAATAATATTATTAGTGCAAAGCATATTAGAGCAGCTTAGACAAAAAAAATTAACTAGGAGGTTTGTATTAATGACTATTAGGGCTAATACTAAAGTTTTTAAAAGTGGCTTTAAGCCTTGAGGTGTCTGGTTTTTATTAATGACTATTAGGGCTAATACTAAAGTTTATACTCCTGACAATATTTTAATTGATTCTTCATTTTATAACTTCATGCACCTGCAAGAAATTTAGAAGTCTGAGAACATTCGTAGCAGGTACTCCAAAACAATGATTTTTTACCCCACAAAAATGAAGATAATAGATTGAAGTTTGTCAAAAGAGTTATGAGAAAAGAAGATATTCTGAGAAAAGTTCTAAAGGTTTACGATGAATGAAAAAGGTTGACTAACTTTGCAATAAAAGTGAGTTGTAGGAAGCTTGTGAGAAGAAGAGTTGTTTGTCTTCTTAGTGGAGTATGTTAAATGGTGATTAAGCTGTGCAGTTTGTGTGAATCTGAAGAGGGTTGCTGATTTGAAAACCGACTTGATGATTCTAAAGTTTAATCAAAAACTTAGTATTAGCCCTAATAGCTATAATAGCCCCAATTTACTGAACTATACTATAGTCATTAACTAGGAGAACATGTGAACCCTAATAGTATTACTTTTTCAGAGTCAACACAAAATGAAATACATATCATTTAGAGCAATTAATCAAAACAATCATGGTTAATCAAAGCAATCGTGGTTAATGATTGTGCGTAGTTGCTTACCGGTAATGTCGAGTTCGGAAGTGCGCTACTGCGGAAGTGCGGAGAAGTCAGAAGTGTGGACAGTGGTCGTGCGGTCCTGTGGACGACGGTCGAGCGGACAACACGGTCAAAGGACGTGCGGTCCTGGAGGTGGGGTACGGTGGTGCAGCATCGGCGAGGAGGGATGACGCTTGTGGCTGGCGGTTCACAGGTTTGGTGGAGCGGCACAAGCCTTCTTCTTCCCGATCTAAGTCTGTCTTAGGTCTGACGTTCTGTTCTTCTTCTGTCCCGTTCCTCTTCTATTTCCTTAATTTTTTGGACCTGGGCTGGCATATATTTGTTGGGCCTTCGAAAATATTAAACCATGTGCGGTTGGACAGGCAACCCCTGCCCTGGGCCGAACTGGACATACATAAATATATTAAATATTTAATATGTAATATATGTACGGGTCGGGTAACGGTGCGGGTAACTGTACCCGAACTAAACGGGGCGGTTACGGGGCGGGTAACGGGGCGGGTACCTCTAAAACCGTATCCGCCCCATTACCCGTTTAATGAATCGGGTATTCCCCGTACCCGTACCCGTTACCAAGTCAACACGGTTTTCCCCATTTTGACCGGTTCAGATCGGTGCGGGTATCCATCGGGTCGGGTTAAATTGCCATCTCTATAATGGAGTAATATTCATGGTATACGACATATGGTGCTGTTTTATCTTTCCTCTTTAGAAATTCCAGTGAACTAATAGCTAGGCTATGGAATTGTAGCAGCGAAAACATGTGCATTAATGATGAGCGCGGGAAATGTGAGTGAATTGTGGAAGGACCCAAGTTAAACATGCCAAAAAAGGAAATTAACGAAAACATTGCAAACGTTGAGTCGTGGATAGCGCTGGGCCATTTTTATTATCATTCCGATTTCTGCGTAATATTCCAAGATGGTTGTGACTTGTGACCACACGGTGTGAGTGGTTAATACTTCCCCGTCTTTAACCGGTTACTGCAAGTTAGCAATTAAATGGATTATATTAGCAGATTGTTAATAACGGGTTCAGGTAATCAGTTTGACTAACAAAAGAAGTTAGTGAAAGGTAAAAACTTGTTTGATAATTTAGTTGTTTGGAGCGTAACGATTAGTAGGAAACCGTTTATTTCAAAACGCTAAACCAAAACGTTGTTATTTGCAGCGTTTCCATTCCAACGCTTCTATACAAAAACGCTAAGGCTGGACATCTATTTACCAAATAGCCTTTTCAATTATTGAAAACGCCAAAAAGGTAAATCCACTGTTTTTGACTGAAACGCCATTTTTCAAACACCCACTTTGTCTCATTTGTCACATAAAATTTGACTAAGTTTGACTTATGTATAGAATAATAAAGTAAAAACTGTTTAATTGAGATTTCTCCATAAGAGAAAGAAGTAGTTTTAACTATATACTTACTACTTTAACAATGACAATGACACGATATTTTGATACGCCTAAATATAGAAAAATGGCAAAAAAATTATGGCAAAAATGTTCAAGTAAGAATGTTTTGACTTGGATGCGTTTAAATCTAAGACCAGAATAAATAAAATTAAAAAAGAATAGAGTACCAGACCTAACTTCTACAATTAGAACTTTTGCCAACTTTGCTTTTTTTTTTGTCCGAATAACTTTACCACTTTATTTTTTTAGTAATTAATTTGTGATTCAAGTTAATTATCTCCTGCACAAACTTGGGACACACGATAATTAGCAACCCGTTAATATAAATGCACTAAGCTAGTCAATCTTATCTTAATTATATATATGTGCGGTAAACTTTAAATGTGTATTTTTTAGCCTTTAGAGTTGGATTTTCAAAATTTGAGATTTTTGAATTGTGGACAAAAATTTGAACTCATAAAAATCATTTTGATTCGCCTAATGGGATTTTTGTATACAACATAACCTGCCAAGCTCTCTAGGACTCTAGCCTCTAGGTATTGTTTTTCTTAGAGTTCACCTAGTGGGATTTTTGTGTTACTCAAAACCAAAATGAAATGCCAAACATATTTGATAAAATGAAATCGACTAAATTTGCTAAATTATGAAAAACTATATTTAGAAATAAAGAAATAATTATATAAAAATAGTTTAAATAATCCTCTAAAATAATTTTCACCAAAAAAGTAACTTCAAGCATATTGAAATAAAAAATTCCTATTTTGATAAAAAAAAATGACATATAAGGCTTATAACTGAAAGTAAGAATTATCAAATGATGAAACATAGTAAACATGTAAATTTTGCAGTAATAATACCACATTACCACCCTTGTTCCGGTGGCGCACAACAAGATGAAAGCTTTGTCTTTGTAGTGTAAAAAAAATTGAAGATGCAGTTTTTGTTTTTAAGATTTTGAATTCAACTAAAAAAATGTGACACGTTCAATGTAGGGGTGGACTCGGGCCAGGCCAACCGACCAGAACCGGACCGGCCCGCTACTGTGCGAGCCCGGCCCAGACCGGTGAACCTGGTTCCGGGCCCGATTCGGACCAACCGGCCCGGTGGGATGGCAGTTCGGGCTCGGACCCTTCAAAAGGTGAACCGGCCCGTCCGGTTCGGGCCCGGGCCGGGCCAATTTTATTTTTATTTTTATTTTTTAAATTGTTTTTAAGTTTTTGGGTTGGGCTGGGTATTTTGGGCCATTTGAGGTGGTTAGGGTTGGTTTGGGAGTGAGGGGGAGGGTTGGGGGTTAACTAGGAAAAGCCAAAAAAAAAACTGAGGCCCGGCCCGGCCCGGACCCGGGGGTTACCCGGGCCGATTCCGGGCCTCCCCTTCTTGAACCGAGGCCCAGCCGGGCCCGAACCGGTCCACCCCTAGTTCAATGGAGTATTCGACAAATGGTATAAAATGATCAGCAGCAGTAAAAATGAACATTTTGTTATCAGGACATCAGGTACACATTTCTGCAACGGGTAGGATTTGTAGAATTTGTAGACCGATTTGAAACCAATTATGAATTAACAAGGCAGGGACAACATTTGAGAAACATGCAGTGATGCAGGCATGAGGCATCTTACTTGGTGACATCCATACTCTCATTTGTTGCATCATACAGATTAATAATAATATAATAATAATAACAACACTAGCAATAATGATAATAATAATAATATGTGAAATATTAAGTGTGAATGATAATAAAAGGTGTAAACAACGACACTAACCGTTAGAGAATATTACCCGAAATAGGACTAAAACAGTTTGAAAATTCCAAAATAGGACTGATATGTTTTTATTCCCAAACTATGACTAATTATTGTCATGCTTTGGCAGTACCAGACTTCAAAATGGCAGTATTTTTTAAACATGGCAGTAATTAATCCTATTTTGGGAATAAAAAACATGACAATCCTATTTTGGAATAAAAAAACATGGCAGGCCTATTTTGGGAATAAAAAACATGACAACCCTATTTTGGGAATAAAAACATTACAGTCCTATTTTGGAATTTTCACACTGTTTTAGTCCTATTTCGGGAACTTTCCCTAACTGTTAATAAGATAGAGGCATATGTGATATACAAAGCTTCATGCAGTGGAGATGGCGAGATTGTTGTTTCTAGGAATTCTCTGTTTGTTTACTTCCACATTGAGTGCATGTGTAGAAGATAGTTTGGCCTTCATCAGCAGACCTTATCTGCATAAAGGAGAAAACCCAAAAACATACTGTCAGTTTAGATGGAAAGGGCAAATGTTCTCGGACAAAAGAAAAAACAAGTCATTGTAATGAGATATGGAATATATTGGGTATCGATAATGAATTCTACGCAACCTGTCTAGCAACATATGCCATCCCCATGTATTGACATACTTTGCATTTTGCATTATAATCCTGTAAACACAATAATGATTGTTATATAAGAGAAAAACCCTTGAATAAAGATTTCTGTATTCCGGTAAGCTTACCATCTGTTTCAATTCCTTCTCTTCTTCAAAATCATCAAATGAAGAAGATATGCCGAACTCCCTTCTAATAGCCTATGAAAGTTGGAGAATGCCATAAAAAGCTTGTTCAGTCAACGATAATTTAATTCAAAACAAGAGCGTCAAATTACTTTGTTACATTTCATCTGATGGATTGCAGTATACTTTGTATTGAATAAGAAGACCATAACAGGCCTCTCAAGTCAATTGTCGAATTACTCTACACGTTACTTTTCATCTTTAATATGCATCTCTAAGTCATAACAGGCCTCTCAAATGATTGGTTATAGTAAAAGATGGAGGCATACCTCGGCAGAAATTGTATAGCTTATCTCTTTTCCAATGATATCTAGAATAGGGAAAAAGAAAACGCTAATACTTCATCCATATTAAACAAAAACGAAGGAGATCTGTAAGCAGATTGAATTCTTTTTTGAAAAAGAGAGAGGTGAACTAATGGGTTTTGGTTAAATGAAATGCTGCATTATTTTGAATCCCAAATTTAACAGATAAAAAAACTTCTAGCACGCTCTCACGACTAATAATGTCCATCAGGAATACAAAAAATGACCAAAACTTGTGTGCGAAAGTCTTACAAATAGAAGGGAAATTTAATATTCTGTACTTGAGAAGTAAAAGCTAAAAAGTACAGAGTTGTGCATTTTATAAAATAACTGTTTTTTTGAAAAGCATTACTCCGTACTTTTTCCTTTTAAAGTATTACACGTCGACATGTCTCACAAGAGCCCAACTGGCCAACCAAAACAATATGTTTTGATAAAAATGCTTTTGATTCGATAATCCATAGGAAACTTAAAACAGATTACTGTCAACCATCCATATACCCTTCAGAAAACAAAACCATAGAGCTCCTTGACTAGGAAAAATGCAAACACAATTATCAACATCAATAGTAACAAAGTAACAAGTACCAAAACAGGTAAAACTGTAAAAACTGAAAGCCTGCCTATTCTGTTAGTGGGTGGGCCCTGGGAAGAGAGAGACACTCTTATTTGTCTTATTGTTTCTTCTCTATCGTTCTACGTTCTTCTGTAATTCCCTAAGGATTTCTGAGTTTTATCAGAATCCATTACTAATATAATCAGATCTCCTGGTATTTGGTTGGTGTCTTATCAGTAGTGTGACAGCCTTAAAACACAGATATGATTGAATATGGAATGGGACAAATACTTTGGGAGGGACCAATATGGAAAAACGCGACAAACATATAAGGACTATACTTGCTCACCAAGATCTGTGAGTAGTATAAATAGGGGTTCTAACGTTGTTAATAGTTTCATATTACTCGAAGCTTTAATCATCAGGTTTAATAAGGCAAAGTCTCTAGGGTTTCTGTCCTGTAGGCTCTCTCCAAGAGGATTTGACCTATTCAGGTGTGTTTAACAAGTAAATGCAAGTTTGAAATCTAATCTATTTCAGAACCATAATCCATGGCATATTGGCATACACAAAGTGATTAAAAATTATTTGCAGATTGCTGAAAACAAATAACATAATGATTAATATAAAAATATAGTGGATACAATACTTCAATTATAAGGTAGGAATGACTAAATACATTTCTTCGATCAGGCATATAAACAAGTATAAAAGCTGATAAAAGAAGTTGCAAACCTTTATAGAATGTGAAACACCTACGGACCTATGGACAAGTTGCAAAAAAAGTAGAGTACAAGAGTAAAAAGATCAAGTGGAGTAAAAGGAAAAAAGTAAATAAGAACCAAACATGGTTAAAAAAGGGTTACATGGTGGGTTTCAAGGCACGCCTCAATGTGAGGCGTACAAAGAAGGTCTCAACGTTAGTTTTTATGGACAAGAGGTTTACGCCTCAAAAGTCAAGGCGTAAGCCCTGAGGCACTCTTTGAGGCATTTTTCTGAGGCAGTTTTCCTTTGTTTCTATCATTTGAAGGTGGTTGTAACTTAAAAAGGCCCAGTGTTTTTTATTTAATCAAGGCCCATACATTAAACATGTGTCCACATTCCACACTAGACCCTAACTAGCCTTTTTAATCTTCGAACTAACCTTTCATGTTAACCCTGTTTTTGCAAGCTGGGCAATGTGCATACTTGATTGAATCCAAGGAGAGAAAAGCTCCACACATACAGAACATGAAATCGCGTTGATGAGAGTAAACTGACATTGCTGGCATTAAATAAATCAAGATAGATTAGAGATTAAGAGATAATGTAAAATTAACAGTTTTAATGTGGATTTAAGAGAAGGTATGTATCTTTTAACTTTAAACAAAAGTAAATTAAGTAAACGAAGAAAATTTAGCATTCTACTTTTAACGTTTCATACTCTGCATGTATACGTTTTCTGACCATTTCATACTTCCTATAACACATTTTATAACATTTTTAAATTACTACTTGCAGTTTGCTAGATGGTATAACAATCACTGATAAGTGTAATATTTAGCTTCTAACATTCTTAAGCATCAAGATTATTTAGCATTTGATAACATATTTGAATTACTACTTGCAGTTTGCTAGAGGGTTCATTAGCAATCACTAATAAGAGAAAAATTTAGCTTCAAACATTTTACGGTAGAGTGTTATCTGTACCAGTAAGTAAGTAACTGTCCTCATAAGAAGCATTATCTAAAAGCTAAAGATGACCAATATAACTCTATAAGCCTCACATATGTCGTTGGTTTTAAAGATGTTCCTGATGAGTGATGAATAATCATCTCTACATTCATTTAAGCTTTACATAATGAATGATTTCTTTAATATTTTCTTTTATACATTCTGTTCAAAATTTAAACAGATTTAAGCCAATTGAGAGTATATTGAGGTTAGTTTCTTAATGAATCTTAAAAATGTGCTTTGGTCAATTGGACATTTAAAAAAAATTACTTCAAAAAATTGTAATTAAAAAAAATAATCTTAAATTAATAACTTGGTTTTCTTATATAAAAATTGTAGAACTTATATTACGAATTAAATTTGTAATAATCCAAAATACGCAGTAGAGAAACTAGGAGAGTTTTATACTTTTTTCAGTATCATTTTGTGATCAAATTTGACTACTTCCATATATTTTTCTTCAACCCTAGTGCTGGTACTTAAGTTTCATATTACTGGGTACATAAATTGAAGGGTACATAAAGCTTAGATTATGAAAACAAATTCCACATAAATTGGGTTCCTTAACAAAATACGAATCAAAGAAATATAGAAATATGCTCCATTGAATACGCTTTTCATGTTTAATTTTGATCACCAAGACGACATCCAGTTGTTGGGTATAACAATTAAATAATAATGATATAAAGTTATAATGAGACCAATTATTTTCTAACCAAAATAAAAACCTCTCAAAAAACAAATATACAAAAAACCCACTTTTAGGCTAACCTATTTTTCGAGTGATTTTTGACCGGCAGAGTGGCAAGTTTTCTGAAAATAAAAACATTCGTAAATTTCTGCCATTTTGAGATCTCAGGTAAAGATTTGTTATCTTATATTTTTTCTGAATGCTTCTGTTGTTCTGGTGACGCGTGGGGGAAAATCAAAATGAGTTTCTCGGTTTTCTTAGGTTTCGACATACATGGATATTACTAATTTAAGTATTTAACTAAATATTTATAAAAAAAACAATGAACTAAGTTTTTATTGAGCTAATCAATAAAAGAGGACTGAAGAAATACCGGGACTACGAATGGTTGTATGTGAAAATTGAGGGAAGCGCCGATTGACTGAGCCGCTGAAGGTTGAGTGGCGGAGAGCAGGCGACTGAGCGACGGGAGTGATGTGAGTAGTTGACGACTGAAGAGGCGTGCTGCGGTGCTGCTGATGTGCTGCGTGTTGGCGTCTGACGGAGGATGAAACCGCGAAGAGAATCGGCGACTTGGCTGAGCGTTCAACCGTTTGTGGATGATAGATGTCGATGGATCCCAACTCCAGAGAAGTTTGCTCGGCTTCCTCAAGCCTTTAATTAATATTTGGACCTTTGGTTTGTTGACAAGAATATTGGGCCTAATATTTTTTAATCATTTTTTGGGGTTGCATCCTCATATCTACTTTATCTCAAGACTGCCGGTGGAATTGAGTTCTAGAACCTATTTCTACTTCGGAGTTTGGGGGAGATCATGAACTGATGAAGAGTCATATCTGTAAAAAAATCAAGATTACGAAATGAGGAAAGGATCAATTGAGTACATCAATTTGTACGAGGTGGAGTAAAGAATACACTATATTGCATTTGATCTTTTTAAGTATACAAATTCGGGATTTTAGTGTTAATTGAGTACATTTGTTGGATTAACACGTTAATACAGTTGAGTTGGCTAACGAATGTCGAGTAAGAAGGGGTAATGGACCGAGGTTATGGTGTCGACCTTCACGAAGTCGACAAAAAAGGAAAATCGACCTTCGGAAGTCGACCTGCGGGGGGGCGTCGGCCAGCAGGGGTGCATCGAACAAGGAGAAGTCGACCTGCGAGGGACTGACTTCGACCAAGGGGAAGTCGATCAAGCGACTGGGGGCTAGCGTCGACCTTCAAAAAGTCGACCTATTAGCATTCTGTTAGCCAACTCAGTCGTATTAATGTGTTAATCTAACGGGTGTACTCAATTAACATTAAAAATTGAGAGCTCGGTCTCGGTTGCACTCTTGAACTTATCTTGACAATCTGGGGACTGATTTGGGAACTGACCTAGGCGGGCTCGGGGCTCAACTGCAGTTCTGAACTTATCTCGATGATATGAGAACTGGTTTTGGGGACCAACCTCGACGGGTGCGGCGTCGGCGGTAGTTCTAGACTTTGTGTTTTCATGGGAGCTTTTATCTGTGAATTTTGATTCCCCTGGTGTATATGTGAATATACTCCATCACATGGTATTAACATTGTCGCTTAAATTTCTTTAAAAAGTGACATTCATAATCTTTTTCCTAACTATCTTTGTCCAAATTTAGACAGCAAAGATATGACAGAGTTTTTAGTGTGTGGGATGACCAATATGGCTTGAAGCTTTTCTTAAGTAAAAATCCATACACAACATACATTTGTTATATTTCTCTCTAATTGGAATTAGTTTTGTCAAGGATTTTGGACGGATTTGCATATCCGTGTTGTGTTCGAATCAAAATTTGTACAAAAACGGTTTGCCATTAAAACATTATCACATGGTCCTAACAAAAAATGTGTCAATTCGCAATGAGTTAGTGTCACACTCTTTATTTTTTATAATGCAATACGATAAAAGTTCGATATGTAAAATCAAAATATTAAATAAAATTGTATTTAAATGATGGAATAGTTATACAACCCTTGAATTATAGTTCATCTTCAATATGGTAGTGTTATATTTCAAACAAGTACCGAACAATCCTTGTGACGCGATGTATAGCGTTGACATGGTCCTTATTGGGAACCAAAATCCTCACCATTTTATAATATGAAAAAAGGGAGAATTTTAATCCAAAATCGGAAATGGTGCAACGACGATTCACTTGTCATCCAAATTATGTCTTCATATCAGAAAGTCTTATTTTGCTGGTTATATTTGTTTTAATGGGTTCAAAAGTAGATTTTTAATTCATATATGTACATCACTTGAAACCGTCATTGAGTAATCTATTTCAGTTTACAAATAAAAATAGACCAGTGACACACTTGACTCAACGCTGCTTTTTTTTATAAAAAGAGATTTTATTAATAAAAGTAAATAGTACAATGCGTGAAATGGAAATAACAAAGAGAGAGAGAGAAACAAAAAATACAGAAAAGAAGATGAAAAGACAAGAGTTAGACCCAAGGGAAATATCTGGAGTGTTATCTAGTCCTCATGCAGTGACGTCTTTTGTTTTTCTGAGATTTCCGATATAGTCTCTCCACACAATAGTGTCTCTCCTTGAAAAACTTTTTAGTCCAGCAGCGATCGTAAATGATCATTTTAGCTATGTCTCATGTAATTTGTTTTATTAACTTTATCAATAAAATATATTTTAAATATAATTTTCACAACTCAACGGATTCAGTTGATTCAACTACTCTAAAGGTACATTTAGAATTTCATCATTTTTAACACTTTCAATTCTACACTTTTACACGTCTAGGGCCGAAAAATGAGTTGATAAGGGAGGGGTCAAGTATTAAATATGACTAAGAAGCTATTCCCTTCGTCTGATCTGAATGTTTCTGATCTGAATTTTTTAAGATCTGATCTGATCTGAATTTTTCTGATCTGATCTGATCTGAATCTTTCTGGTCTGATCTGATCTGAATCTTTCTTATCTGAATCTTTCTGATCTGATCTGATTTGAATTTTTCTGATCTGATCTGAATGTTTCTGATCTGATCTGATCTTAACTTTCTAAACCGGTATATAATAATATTAATACTAATAATAATAATTCTAATAATAATATCAATAATAATTATAATAATAATAAATAATATCAATAATAATTATAATAAATTAATAATAATAATACTCTCTCCGTCCCATTTAAAGGTTCTCGTCCACTATTCACATGGTCAACTTAAATCATTCTTAACCTTTTGCTTTATATATCAAATTTTTATGAAATTTACATATTTTTTATCATCCTTTGTAGCGACTATAATGTAGTTTCTGAATATGTAAATTTTGTTTTCTATAAATAATCGGAGTGTGAACAGGGATCAAGTTGCTTTATCGTCAGTCAAGCATCGTAAACTGAACCGGGAACCTCTATATGGGACGGAGGGAGTAACTATTATTATTATAATTATAATTATTTAATAATAATAAAATAATAATAATAATGATAATGATAATAATAAAATAATAATAATGATAGTAATAATAGTAATAATAATAATAATAATAATAATAATAATAACAATTCTAATAATAACATCAATAATAATAATAATAATAAATAATAAAATCAATAATAATTATAATAAATTAATAATAATAATAATAATAATAAAATAATAATAATAGTAATAATAGTAATAATAGTAATAATAATAATAAGAATAATAATAAGAATAATACTAATAATAATAATAATAATAGTAATAATAATAAATAATAATAATAGTAATAATAGTAATAATAGTAGTAGTAATAATACTAATTATAATAATAATAATACTAATAATAATTATAATACTAATAATAATTATAATAATGATGATGATGATAATAATAATGATAATAATGATGATGATGATGATGATGATGATGATAATAGTAATAATAATAATAATAAAAAATAATAATAATAATAATAATAATAATAATAATAATAATATAATCGATAATAATAATGTTTATGATCTAATCTGATCTGAATGCTTCTGATCTCATCTGAATGTTTCTGATATAATCTGATCTGATATGGATGTTTCTGATTTGATCTGATCTGATCCGATCTGAATCTTTCTGATCTGATCTGATTTGAATTTTTCTGATCTGTTCTGATTTGAATTTTTCTGATTTGATCTGATCTGAATAAAATAAAAATAAGCAATAAGTAATAAGAATAAGACCTAGCTAAATGAGATGAATATTGTGACCTAGATGAAAATGGAAATGACACTTAAAATGAGAGGAAAGGGCTATGTTTTTCACCCATGGCTTTCGGCGTTTTAGTCCAGCTGGTACCCTCGTACAGCTAGCTTCGCTTTCGCTGGCCATTCACCTCTCACTTTCAATTCCTTCAATTCAATACGGAGTATAAATATATAGTGGAGTATATACTCTTTAATCCTCCTTTCCTCGCTCTTTCCTTTCCCCCCTGCTTGCCCCCTAAATTTCACACGCCGTGTTCTTTCGCGTCCTAAACGTACCTATCTGCTTTTTCAGCTCACGCTCTTATCACGCTTTTGGCTCTTCTATAAATATCTAGTGAATCCACACTTTCATCACTTATCTTTTGCTGTGCAATCCCAATTATCTACGGACTTTGCCTAATATAGAAACAATGGATATGATTGGGAATTACTATCCTGGGGATTTCCTTACGGCGGCTGCGTCGTCTTCCCAGTTTTGGTCGGAACAGGGTGCCGGCGGCGGCGCTGAGTATTCGCCAATTTCTTCCGACGACACTGGCAGTTCCAGCAGCCATTGCAGTTTCACGACCAAATCGAATGTGTTTGAAGAGGATATGGTCCTGCTGGCTTCTAACAACCCCAAGAAACGCGCCGGCCGGAAGAAATTCCAGGAGACGCGTCACCCGGTGTACAGGGGAGTGAGGAGGAGGAACTCCGGCAAGTGGGTCTGCGAGGTCAGGGAGCCCAACAAGAAGTCGAGGATTTGGCTCGGGACCTTCCCGACGGCGGAGATGGCTGCCCGGGCTCACGACGTCGCCGCCATTGCCCTCCGAGGCCGATTCGCCTGCCTCAACTTCGCCGACTCTGCCTGGCGGCTTCCCGTCCCGGCTTCCTCCGACGCCAAGGACATCCAGAAGGCCGCCGCGGAGGCTGCGGAGGCGTTCCGACCGGAAATGGGTATTGAACCCGCCGCAGACGCGGAGGAGATGACGCCTGAAAGTAATGGGTTCTTGATGGACGAGGAGGCGCTTCTTGAATCGCCGGGATTTTACACTGACATGGCAGAAGCTCTTATGTTGCCTCCCCCTGGATATACGGATGGTGACGTGGAGCCTGTCGTTGACGTGTCACTGTGGTCTTACTCTTTTTGACTGATCACTCCTCTATGGTGGATTTGTGTTGTCTATTATTCTGTACTATTAGTTAGCTTAGTGTTAGTGTATGTAGGATGCAATTATAACTATAATAATAATATAATCATTATAAACATAAAAGAAAGAAGAAGAATACAAGTTGAGAGTGATTTTGTTCACCTCTTTTTGTCTTTCTCCAAGCAGCCAATTATGGATTGTGGTAGCCCAATCTCTTTCTTTTTGTGTACATTTTGTGAAGCTGTACGGATGGCCATAAGTAGTCATTTGCTGAATCTAAAAAATGCTTTTATGCTGTTGACTTTTCAAGTCTCCCATATATGTAACATTGATTTATAATATCATACTTCCTATGTTGAATGTATATGATATTTTATAGAATATTTTAATGATATGTAGGAGTAGGATGTTCACCTCCTGTGTGATTCTGAAATGATCGTTTTAATCTTTAATTATCAATTTTAGTGTGATTATGAAATGTCTAACATTAATTTCAACTTATAAGTTTCAATGTGATTTGAAAATGATGAGTCATGTTTCAACTTATCAATATCAATGTGATTCTAAAATGATGACTTTCAACTCAACTTTCAATTATGCGGATAGAAAATGCTCTCAACTTGTCAATTCTGCTGTGATTGTAGAATGATGACTGCATTGAAGATGCTTTCAACTCATCGATTCTCGTATGATTCTAAAACGATGATCAATGAAAATGCTCTCAACTTATTACTTATAGTGTTATTTTAAACTGATGAGTTCCCATTTCCACTCTCAATGATGTGAAAATTCCATTGAAAATACCCTCATCTTGTCAATTCAAGTATGATTCTAAAATCATCAATTGGAATACCAACTCTCAGGTTATGCGGACTCCATTGAAAATGTTTATGAATCCGATCATGATATACTCCATCTTCTGTTTATTGGCTTTATGGCATGCTTGTCTCTTATTGATGTTTGTAAAGTATAACATGTATACTACTTTATGTATACTACTTTATGATAACTGACTTTATACTACTTTATACTACTTTATACAAAGACAAGGTTTTCTATGTATGGTTTGATGCACCAATTGGGTATGTGTCAATCACTCCATGCTACACAGCCGAATGGGAGAAATGGTGGAAGAATCCTGAGAATGTTGAGCTATACCAATTTATGGGCAAGGACAATGTGCCTTTTCATACGGTAAGTAATTAAATTCTTGGAAACCTTTTTATTATGTTTTGTGGTCTAACAATGATAGATTTTGTGGCTAATCGAGAGCGGTGGGTGTATGATTTTGAAGTGCTTACAATTATATGTTTCTGTTGTATAAGTAAGATTGTCAATTATTTTCATGCACCTTCACTGGTAATGATGCGTTCATGTTTCTCTGCTCTTTGTAGCAGTGCTCTTGCAGTACTTGTTGTACTTATGTGCTTAATTAAGATATACTACCTTCATCCCGAAAAGGTTCGCCATATTGACTATTCTAGATCAATAATGACAAACTTTGGACAATGATTTTAATTATTATATTTATATATAATTTATAAATTTTATACTTTTATGAAAATATTTTGAATGAGGAACGTTTTGATATAATTTTCATATTCAAAATAATTTCGTATTAAAAAATATCATTGGTCAAAGTTGATTGACATTGACCAAGAAAAGTCAATTTGGCAAATCTTTTCAGGATGAGGGAGTAGTGCTTATCATAAAATGGGTTCTCACTTGAACCTCCATACATGATACTCCAAAGTGACGGTGGCATCCCTCATCCACTTGCCTAGTTCCTTCTATAACATTGGTAATAGCCAGTGGTAATACCAGTGGTTCTGTACTTCTGCGAATATATTTGATGCATTCATACTTTAGTACAGAACTATCTATCGGTCGAAAACAAAATATTTAAAACAAAAACAAAAAGGCAGATAGATGAACTCCTTCCCTAAGTTTAATGTAAAACATGATATGAAGAAAACATGGAACTTCAATAAGAATATATTTGATGCATTTGTAGTTTTGTACTTCAGTAGATATCAAGAAAGTTATGTGTGCGAAAGATGTCATTCAAAGGGTACTAATTAGGGATGAAGAAACAAGAGTGAGGTAGAGGTCTTACGTTAACAAATTGTTTAGTGGTGATCTTACTGTAGCAGATTGTCTGGTAAATCAGGATTGTGTATTAAGGACTCGACGGAGAAAATTTAAAGAGGTTTTAAGGAACATGGGTAGAAGTAAGTAGCAGGTCAAAACCAGAATATACTATTTGAAAATGATTCCTTAATTAAGAAAACCCAAAAAGAAAAACCTAATATTCTAATTTAGAATTACGATGATTCAATCAAGGTTTGAACATGTTTGGGAGATGGAGGCGTCGAGTGACTACCAACTTTCATGAACAAGATTTGGAGACATAACAAAATGCCAACGAGTTGGCGAAAGAGTTCTCTTATTCACTTATTTTTGTTCACTTATTTTTTAGCTTGAGATTATGATGGAATAAAGCAAAATGACTCACTAAACTGTCTGCGCTTCTTTGTTATGAAACAACGGTCAGTCCATGCAATTTTGAACGGGATTTTCACTATGGGTCATCCGAAATCAGTATCTCTGTACTTTAGTACAGAGGTAAGTCTGCGTACATACGACCTCCCTTACCCCACCGTAGGTGAGAGCCTTTGCGGCACTGCGGTAAATAATGCAAAAAAAAAAATCTGTATATAATTTCATTTTCCTAATATGCGGGTTATGTTTTTAGATCCAAGAGATTATGTTTTTAAATACAAATGAATAGCATAACTATTAAAAGTACGTGGCACACAATTCAACGTGTCATAGACAGATGGAAACATGTAAATATAACAACTTGCAAGGATGTTTGGCTATTACTAACAGCATACAAATTTGCGAACCAAAACAAATGCCTCTGATTAAGAAATCTATGAAAATGAAACAAAAGAGCCAAGAAACCCGCGCGGAGAAAGCACTGAAGGTATTCATTCCTGCCTGCGCGAAAAAACAAGCCCCCAAAAACAAGAAGAAGAAAAAGATAGCCTTCTGATATAACAGCAAGGAAAAAACCATCCATGTGGCAAACACTCCTTTTCACAGCCATGCTACTCAGCCTTCTTGTTAAGGATTATGGTCCTTAACTCACTATCATCCTTTACAAAACTCCAAAGAAGGGAGGTGAGAGGAATGGCAGCCGCATGCGAAACAGCACGGGCATCAACAAATCCCCAGTATGGAGCAAAGTCAAATATTTCAAGGAGAGTGACGAGAACGCCCCCAACCACTACTGCCCACAGCTTCCAGCGTGACGGGTGACGACTCACCCCTGCCCACACCGCCCACATCGTAAGTTGAGCCGTGACCATAGCAAAACAAATCATCCGATTCAAGCCTGCCAACCGCAAATTCAAATTCTAATATTTAGGGTTTGTTTAGGATTAGGATGGACAGGAAAGAAAAATCTCAAGGTACATAAATAAAGAAGAACGAAACAATATACAATACGTAGTATGAGCAGATCTTTCTCTCCCACTCATCTCTTCCCACAAATTTTGTAAACAAACAAAGAGTAGGTAACTCTATCATTGTCTAACAAAACTCCCTAATTTTAAGCTTTTAAACTAATATATACTCCATATATATTAGTATACTCGGGGAGTGTTGAAAAGAAAACAAAAGAAGCCAAGATTGCAGGTACTCTTACCATGATCAAATTGATAGAAGTTAAGATACAAGATATGTGTTGTCAAGAACGCAACGATTGGGGCAGAAACCATTACTCTGCCTGCCTCAATGCACACATTGAATGTTCTTAATATAGCCAAGATAAGAGAAAACCCTAGCAAAGCCACAACAGAAGACTGCTCTAGCCTCTCTGTCAAGTCTACGTCTCTGCAGATAATTTCAGAACATCAAGATAAAGAAAATGGGAAACTTAATACACCAAACCACTAGCAAGTTAACTAGTGAATAGATTGACATATAATGTCAAGAAAATGAGATACTACAGTCCAGTAGCAAACAGAACACTTTTGGTTCATAGGCAGACAGTAGCTGGGCTCACAAAAAGATACAATCCAAGAACAAAATGTCATATTTATATATGAAATTTACATTGTATTCAAGCACCAACAAAGTTAAAATCGCTGGTGAGAAAGTGCAAAGCTCTAGCAATACAGGACTATAAAGCATTGCATAGCACTACCCATTGAATAGAATTTAAGGCAAAAAAAAAACATTTAACCCCAAATATCACACTTACCTGCTATGAAAAACAGCTCTCCAAAACCACGCATTCATTGATAAAATAGCATAGATATGCCATAAGCCTGTGTACTCATAATATGGCTTTCTGTTTGGCCTGAATGATAGCTTGTAATTAACTAATATGAAGAAGGACACCCAGCCATGAAATTGTATGGCAAGATTGAGAGCAGATAATGCCACAGAAACAGGTTCCTGAACATAGACAAAACTTAATAATGTTAAGATGCACTAACAAATTAAGAGCCTAATTGGGATGACTTAAGTTATAAGTGCTATTAAAAGAAGTAAAAAGCACCAATCAGGTAATTCTTAAATAAGCATAATTTTAAAATAAAGTAAAAGTACTTTTGCTGATATAAAAACAGTTCTTGTTTTCAAAATAATGGCATCCCAATTCCCAAACGCACACTACCCATACAGGACTACAAAAGGTTGAAAACTATATAGGGCATGAAAACCTGTATTCCATAGACACGCTGAAATGGCCATCTCCCATGATACTTGACGGGCTTGAGACCAAGTTTTTGTCTTTCTTCCTCCCTGTCCAGCATACAATAATATCGACAATCACCCAGACAATCCCACTGTTTCCACCTCAAATAAAGTGGCTCTTGCAAATACCACGGACCATCAGTGGAGTTTTCAGCAGATGAAAAATTGCAATGTTGAAAGCAATTGTCCCCTACACATCCACTCTTCTCACATTTCTGAACACAAACTCTGCCAGAGTAGCAATTTGGCAAAGGCAATAACACAGTCAATGAAAAAGTCAACAAAAGCAACAGAAAGTGAAGTATCCAAACATTCACATAATTGATTTTTATGAATTGCAGTGTTTTTGCATCTACTTGTTTGCTTTCAACACTACACATGTACTATTTCCTTAATTCCTTAAACTATAATTTTAAGCAGACTCATCCATCAATACACAAATGAATGCACTTCAATACTTTGGGACATGAGACTTGAAGTTGAAAACCGCACTATCATTAGTTAGCACTAAGAGCTAACTAGCTGGGCGACAAAGTGAAGAAAGACTTGCACAATGTGTCCTTTTTCACATTAAACTGGGACTTGACATAAAATTCCACATAAAGAATTGATTTTTTATAAAATATTTTTGGTTTTGACTTTTGAGTCAAGCACTAATGTCCTAACTCCTAACAAGTTTGAGATTTCTTGTAAAACATCAGTACCCATCCTTCAGCGTTGGCCTAAAAGGAGTACTTCATTCAACATCATATTTCATATGAGAACAAAATTGATATATTAAGCAGATAGAATAAAATAAAATTAAACGAAGCGCTGTAAATTGCGAATAAAAACAAAAAATGAGAGGGCAAGAAAGGGACTATGAAAGCTGAACTAACTTGTAAATCGAATCCGCATCTCCATCGCTAGCGTTGATGGATGCAAAAATTGAAGAAAAAACAGCGAAGAGCAGCACCAACCGATCTATTAGTGCCATAGGGGCGGCAGCTATACAGACGAGAGAAGGTGAAAAGGGGGCAAAATGTAGAGCGCCAACTACAGCCGCGGCGGAGAAAAAGAAAAACTCGTTAGGGTATTAATAACTGAGCATATTCCATGGAAATATGCTTCAAAAATACATATACATACGTATGTGCAAGAGAATCTGAAGATCGCGGATGTGAAATCCCGCATAAAAAGAAGAAGACGTGAGGGTGGAGGGCTAATGGGTGGCAGAGGTGAGGTGAGAAGAAGCCCAGATTCTCGTGAATGGGTATACTTGCGAGCATACACGTCGGTGATTTGATGTTTTCACGAAACACTAATAATTAGCTCCGCTTTCAAAAAAAAATCCCCTTTTAATTGAAAAGAAAAAAAGGGATGTAGGGCTCGTATCATTTTAAGGGAAATGGGTATAGGGCTTGTATGGTTTATTGGGTTTAATGTAAGCAAATCATATCTTATTTAGAAAAATTATCCCAAATAAAAGTAAATAATGTTTATTTAGAAAAATTGTCCCAAATAAAAGTAAATAATGTTTATTTAGAAAAATTGTCCCAAATAAAAGTAAATAATGTTTATTTAGGATCACCATGTTTATATTCTCTAAATATGAGTAATTGTTGTCACATTTTGGCGGTATCAATCTTTAAATATGACGGCACTTTTCAAACTTGACCGTAATTACTTCTATTTAAGTAATAAAAACATGATAGTCTTATTTTGTAATTTTCAAACGTTTTTAGTCATAGTTTAAAAATTTTCCCCTTTTTCAATGATAAATGTCAAACTTATATTAATTCGAAACAAATATTTGTAAGTTGGATGGACAAATATATAACCCCAATGATCAGATATTTAAATGATTGTCCTAACAATTTACCGATTTCAAGTTTTATCATTAACCAATACCTCTAAACAAATAGAGTAATCCAATACTATCATCTAATCAACATAAAACAAGAATACATATTGTAAAATCAAGCGAAAACATTAATATTAATAAAATAGACCAATCTAAAGGATGAAAAATTGTATGAAAATTGTCATAGAGTTAGTCCATGAATCCTAAATACAACACATATATGAGTTATATTAGCAGTTTAAGCTCGTTGTAACCCTTACAACAATCCTAAATAAAAGTAAATAATGTGTGTGTTTCAAAATAGGACCACCATGTTAATATTCTTCCAAAAATGAGTAATTGTTGTCACATTTTGGCAGTATCAATCTTTAAATGTGACAGCATTTTCCAAACTTGACTGTAATTACTTTTATTTAAGGAATAAAAACATGACAGTCTTATTTTGTAATTTTCAAACGTTTTTAGTCATGGTTTAGGAATTTTCCCTTTTTTCAATGATAAATTTCAAACTTATATTAATTCAAAACAAATATGTGTAAGTTGAATGGACAAAGATTATAAATAATCCTTAGTCATGCCCATTGATCAGATATTTAAATGATTATCCTAACAAGAACAGCTTGATTTACCAATCATCACTTAGATTTCAAGTTATCATTAACTAATACCTCTAAACAAATAGAGTTATCCAATACTATCATATAATCAACATAAAACGAGAATAGATATTGTAAATCAAGCGAACACATTAATATTAATAAAATAGGCAAGTCCAAAGGATGAAAAGTTGTATGCAAATTGTCATAGAGTTGGTCCATGAATCCTAAATACAACACATATATGAGTTATATTAGGAGTTTAGGATTGTTGTAACCCTTACAACAATCCTAAATAAAAGTAAATAATGTGCGTGTTTCAAAATAGGACCACCATGTTTATATTCTCCAAATATGAGTAATTGTTGTCACATTTTGGCGGTATCAATCTTTAAACATGTCAAACACATATAAACAACATTACATGTAAAAAACAGTTGGGAAATTGCCTTAAATAGGAGTAAACAATTTTGACATTCCAAAGTGGAGCTACCAGGGGAGGATCCAAGGGAGGTCAGGGTCGTCAGCCGACCCCTCTGAAAGTTTGAGAGTATAGAGCTCTGAAATATCTTCAATTTGATATATTATGGCCCTCGTAACTCATTACGAGTAAAAAGTTATGACTTCTGCAAAATCAGAACTATCTAAACGTAAAGTCGGCAAAATTTGATGCATGCTATAGATTATTTTCCCAAATTCTAAAAATAAGGGATAATTCACTCAATACTTACGTGACACGACTCAGAAACAGAACAAAAACAATCTATCTTATTGCAACGAGTGTCTATTTATCTAAACTGCATATGAAATAATTAACTCAGACATTGTTTAAAAACGATCCACCATTTTCATTCTGTATATAGGTTGAGATTCGACCCCCTGAGCCGTTTTTCTGGCTCCACCACTGGGAGTTACTATATTCTTTTCCCGAAATAGGAGTCGGTACTGTCATGATTGAAAAATATTATCATCAATTATAATAAATAATGTCATGTTGAACGCATAGTACCACAACTACTACCATGTTACTCGAGAAATTTACCTAAATAGGACTAAAACTTATGAAAAAATCCACCGTAGGACTATCACTTTTCTGTTTAACACCATAGGACTAAAATATAGATGGAATACCAAAATTGCCATGCAAAGCCACCTTTCTTCCGTTCGCGACTTATGAAGGTTGCGCTGAAGGATGTCTCTGCATCACCTCTGCAACTTCCCCAAATAAGCCTCTTCTTCTTCTTCTTTAATGCTTCTATATTTTCTTTCTTCCACTTTTACTCTTTTCTTCTCTTTTGGATATTCATTTTTTTTATAAATTCCATCTAATTCACTTTAAATCGTTCATACTATTTTTCTCACCAATTGGACCTGAAAATGGCATAATTGCTATGTTATTCAACACTGATTTGGAAAAAATGTCATTGTCTTGACATTACATTTACCAGGATGACAGTTTTTATTTGACATTTCTAAAGAGTAAAAATGACACCAACTTGACATTCTCCACGACTGCCATGTTTTTATATATGGAAATGTCATCTCCATGACATTTTGAGAAGAAAGATGACATTTTTTACAAAACAGAGTAAAAAGAAGAAGAAATCAGATGAGGAAGAAGAATCTGGGAGATAATGTTCGAATGTGAAGAGGATGAGAGAAAAGGAAAGAGAGGCAGAGAACATAAGGGGAGTAGCAGAACAACCTGGAGTTCTGGACTGGACGTCGTAGAGAAGGATCAATTGTTGAGGTGCGGGAAAAGATGATCGCTATTGGAATTGCAGGGGAGAGGATTGATTTTAGGTTGCAGGATAAGAAGATTGATGTTGGAGTTGCAGGAGAAGAGCATGGCGCAGAAGAAGAAGGAGATTGTCGCTGGAGGCGGAGAAAAGGATACACACAGGGACATTTTAGACTTTGCGGAAAACGTAAAAACTGATAATAGGAGCGGATGACTCCTATATGAAGGATAAAACATATTAAGTCCTAATTTGAGTTTTTATCTATGTTTTAGTCTTATTTAGGACAATTACTTATGTTACTCTTATTCCGGGAAGAAAAACATAGAAGTCCTGTTTTTTAATTCCAAAACCTATTTACTCCTATTTTGGGAAATCTCCCAAATAGTTCGGAGAGACACATATATTTAAAGTCTTACTTATATATCTTAAACTTTTGAAATACGAGTATATATATTCTTAGATAGCATCATTGTTAGTAGTGAGATGACGCTTTAAAGTCTCTAAGATTTAGTCGTTAGAAAACTAACCGCATTAGTGAAAACTATCGCCATTTATTATTCCTAGAGAGAAGTAGTAAACTTAGATTTTGTTTGCTTCCATATGTTTTCCCTTTTTCAAACGCATATGTGAACCTAAACTTTTCCTTTGGCAATCTTGCATTTGATTGTTCAAATTCAAACACAGTGGGAAACAATATCTTTGTGCTATCATATTCTCATTAGTATAGTACTCTCTGTGTACTCTCTATTACTTGTCTTATCCTTTGGTTCTAATTGTCACATTTTATTTTGCTACTATTGTGTAGCTTAAATATTAGCAATTTTCCAACGAGATCATTCATGTTATACTTCACTTCTATGAACTTTTTACATAAACTCCCATTGAATTACTTATGGATAGTTGGGAAAATACCAGGGGTGGGCACGACCCGGTCTGATCCAATATTTTTCCGAAGCCATACCCGTACCATGACTATTGAAATGGTTCGGTTTGGTAGACCTAAACATGTTGGGCACAGTTCCATTTTCAAATAGAACAGTACTATGACATACCAATACCTCAAACATTTTCACTTTATTCACTTAATTAGGATATCACTTTTTAATCATATTCTAATTTCGCCTTTCAAAAAAATTATTTTTTAATTTGGATTTTGCAACTTTAAATAGATTTTAATGTGGTTTCTAAATATGTAAGTTTTAATTATTAAAAATTGAATTAATTATCAATAGGGATGACTTGACTTTTAACAGTGATTGACTAAAAAATGTTGATTTTGCAAATCAATTTGGGATAGAGAGAGTAATTAATAAATTTCAGATAAACTAGATTAGTACAAATTTAATAACTAAACCATACTTTGGTCCGGTTCGGACTAGTACCGGGTCTCATTTTATGAGAACTCATCATGGCATTGTTTGGAATCGGTACGGTATTGATCGGGACAAATTTTTTTAATTCTGTTTCAAACCCCATTTTTTTTTGTCTGGTACCATACCGGTTTAGTTCAATTCGTTACCACGCCGGTTCGGTATTTTTGTCCATCCCTACGAAATACGTAAAATAACACACACAAGTTGTTACCATGGTTGTTGCATTTGAATTTGTGAATATTGCACCACACCGAAGACTGTGGAATTGACAAGTTGAAATTGTCAAACAATCCGTAGAAAAAAAAATCAAACACAACAATTGGATGACGTTTTATGCAAGTATTGCTTGAGGACAAAAGGTGATCCACATTTAATTATTTGAATAGTAAATCGAAACAAAAAATGCAACTAACTAATAACTTCATAGTTAGTTACAAAAATTATGAAAAGACGTATCAAGTAGTGGCATATTCGGTACTGTTTATTTATGAGTGTGCATTTCAATAATTAAATACTCATGTTTATGGAATATGAACTAAAAAGTATATATGAGTTCAAGCATTGGTCTTTGAGAATGACATTGGAATATATAACTCCACACCGCACTATAATTTCTGCCACACCATCTTCAACGCGTCTGTCAAACCTCCACGACCTTATTATAGTGTTCTAGATGAAAAGTTCATTTGTGCACTAAATTGGTCGTACAATTGTACAACCACTTGTTGATGTTGCCACTTTCTTTCCTTAGAATAAAAGAGTCCTATAATGCTTTATCAGCGCGTAAAATCTGGTGCAGAAATATTTAAACAAGTCATCATTCTCAAAGTTGTAAATGTAATGATTACATTTCAAAAAC